CTAATATTCTGTTCTGCATGCGTCTTTCTTTGATTTTATTTGTGTATAGCTACTTACATAACTTTCGGTACTTCCGCCACTGCTCTTGCTATAACCTTGTTCCCTAATTTTACCGCGCTTATCATAATTAGTGCTAACTCGAAATCCCGGACAAGTGGCCTCTGTACATTCTTGTCCGCCGTTTCCTTGCGCTCGCGAGGCATCGATGACTGTTGGCCAATAATTTTCGTTCTCAGAAGTTAAATCAACCAGCATGGGTTTTCTCTGCGTGGCGAATGTTGAATCAAGCAGATTTTTCTGCATCTGTGATAATGTTGGCTCAGCTAACGGTGGCCTTCGCAGTATCTCCCTGAGCAACGGCATGGAAACATCAGGACTGAAGCCATGAACTCGCGGATCACGTCTGCGCAGCTGCGGTGTAATAGATTTTCCTGGACGAACACTGAATTCTTCTTCCCTCTCCGTACAATCTTGAATTGTTTGCAAATCACGAAATCTTGAGAGACGTTTGGCCACACATTTCTGCAGTGAGAGCAAATCCGATTCAGGTTGTTGGGCCGGTAGCACAGCTGGAGGTGGTGCCTGAGACAGAGCTTGGTAATCCGCAGGATTCTTCTGAAAGACAAAACTATTTCCGGTAGGATTTTCCGTAAAGAATTTCCAAAGCGTCTGTAAAGAATTTCCAAAGCGCGCATAACCGGTAGGATTTTCCGGCTGAACATGACGATTATCCGGGATATCCCACTGACTGTAGGATATAAAAGTTGGTTCCCATCCGATCTGAGCGCTGCTGGCGGCACTCTGAAATCATAATTTTCTTTTGTAGTTTACGGAGCATCGGCTGATACTTTGTAGCAGCACGGAATTACGGCGTGATACCCTTTTAACCAACCACATTTTTTTAGTAATTGCAGCCTACTTGTACAACACTTTACTATACACAAATATGAGTACACAACTCCAATTTTTTGAAATTTTGTTTTGGCACAATACGTTTTGTATAAGCGTCGATTTCGTGAAAAATGTAGTCGGTTCATAATCTTGTTGTTTCTTTCCACAGTATTTTTTTTAGTGTTTTTGCGTCCATGCAGCACAAAAGCGCATGTTATGGAAAAGTGTTTGCGTGTGTGTGTGTGTGTGTTTCGTCACCTCGCTCAAATGTTGTTATTTCTGGACCACAAGAGGGTACGTTACCAATTAAGAGGTTCCACAACAAGTGTTTACCAAATTGTTTGCGTCGGATACGCAGATTAATGAGAAGAGCAGAATTGTCCAAAGCATAATTGTCGCTGCATTGAATTGCTCCTGAAAGTTGATGGTAGATTTAGTCCGTGCAAACCAATAAATATATCATTATGCGTTTTTGTATGTGTGCAAATGCAAAAACGCATACAGTGACAACTCATGATGCACTTGTTTGTATGTATGTGTGCGTGTTTGCGTGTTTGCATGAATGTGTTCGTGTGTGTATGTGTGTGTCTTGTGTGTGTATGTGTGTGTATGTGTGTATGTGTGTGTGTATGCGTGTGTGTGTGTGTGTGTGTGTGTGTGTGTGTGTGTGTGCGGATATTTCAATTCGGCAACCAAGCAAGCTTCGACCCTGAAATTTTACTAGTGGGTTCCTTGACCAAACAGTACCGGAAAAGCGTGATACCAAATTTCATGCACGTTTGAGCCCCGCGGATGGACCCATGAACGTCTTGGCGGGAAAATTGCTAACTCAGGAATAGGAATAGTTGGGTAGCTGAAATTTTAAGGGAATGTTCCCCACTCACGTATAGATTAATGATTTCAAATTTAGCCCCTGTGGTACCCCTGAACAGGAATGTGAAAATTGTGTCCGGAAACTTACTCACTAAATAGCTAGGTCATTTTCGATGAAAGACTGTTCAGTGGGAGCTGTTCATTTTCCGTTATGCAAAACATACGAAGATTTGCGCTAATGAGCGATAAGTTAAATGTAAAGCAACAAACCACTCATACACTTAACGAACTGATTTGCTTCAAGAGTGCTGTTGATCATTTGATTTATGATAAAATTAACTGTGCTCCAAGCAAAGAGCTAAACTTTTTATTTTAACACCAAACTCAAAAGCACAACGTCCACGTAACTTAATAATACAAGTACCAATCCCAGAGCCCAATAACACTCCAAAGAATATTGCAGTCGTCGGCCCCTGACGATCGCCAACAATCTTTTTTTTTCTTATCCCCGTTGAATCCATCTTTTGACTTCATAGTTTTCTTCCAGTAACCGCCTTACTCTAGCGCCCCTTCTTTTTGAATGATCACTTTTCCTACCCAAGAATTTCTTACTCCTTATCAGCTAGTTCTCGAGTTAGCCATTTTCGGCCAAAAAGTTTCATTGGGCCGTACGTGAGAACCACGTACTACGGGGGACTAAGTATGATAGGTTTATGTCGTACTTATGCTGGGAATATTCCTTGGAATTTCAGCCTCCCAGCTTTCGTGGTTCCCAAGCTAGCCATTTCGCATCAGGAACTCTCACGGGGCTGTACGCGGAAATCCATGCACACCCGGAGGCTGAATTTGAAATCTTCGAGTTCTATGTGGACGGGGAATATAATGCGTTGTGCGTTATGCGCTTTTGCTTATATGCAAATCGCAAAAACGCATATTGCGGTGACCCTGCCTGTGTGTGTATGTCCGGGTATTTCAACTTGGCAACCAGGCAAGTTCTGGCGCCAAAGTTTTGCCAATGGATTCCTTGGCCAACCCCTGGACCGCGGCAACAACCGTTACGCAAGTCTGGACCCCGTGTACGAGAGGGTGAAAGTTTTGGAAGGAAAATCGCTTACTCGGGAACGAGGAAAGCTAGAAAGCTGAAATTTTGAGTTATGTTACCCGTCCGCATAGAACTTAAAGAATTAAAATTCAACCCCAGTTGTGCCTGGTTCCCTTGTGCAACCTTGCGAGGGTACCTGGCGGGAAAATCGCTTACCTGGGAATTAGGAAAGATAGGAGGCTGAAATTTTAACGGATGTTTCTCGCCCATGTATAAATTGAGTTCATCAAATTCAGCTCCCAGACATGCGCAGTTTTCGCGTACGATCCCGTAAATGCTTTTGGTAGGAAAATGACTAATTTGAGAACCAGGAAAGCTGGGAGGTCGAAATTTTAAGGGAGTGTTCACAACCTACGTACAACTTAAAGTTTCCAAACCTTGCCTCCAGGTTATGCACGGCCCTGTAAAAGTTTTGGCGGGAAAATAGTCAACTCGGGAAGCAGAAAAGCTACAAAGCTGAGATTTTAGGAGAATAATCCCCGCCCAAATACAACTTAATTCAGCCTCCATGTAAGCGTGGTTCTCGTGTATGGGTACTTCAATTTTTGTGGGGAAACTAGTCATTGATCAGCTGGGTCGTTTTCAGAAAACGACCGCTAAACGGAAATTGTTTATTTTCGTTTATGCAAAATTTACGACGGTTTGCGATATTGACCGCATAAGGTAGTTGTGAAGAAACAACCTTCATATGGTTAACCTAATTACTTCAAGTTTTGTGCAAAAACGCATGATCACACAGACTCCCTTGGTGCTTTCCAGCCTGGCTTGCCTTTACATATAGGCAAAAAATGCATAAAAACGTATTATCGCACCTGCAAGACTTGTGCGTTCCAGCATGAATTTTCAACTGAGTGCGATAAACTTTGGGCAAAGGGAGAAGAAACATAACTAGAGCTGCCAGGATTTCTCGGAAGTGAAATTGGTACTATTTTCAAAAAAAAAATATCTTGATTGGACTATACAGCAGCTTGGCAGAATTATGGGGGACAGGCAGAATTGTATGTGCTTAAAAGGACTCTGATTTCCTCTAAAACTGTGTACAGCTAATGATATGCATAGTATGGATGGAGAGGATTCGTATTATTGACTATACGTTAGTAGAAGCGCGCCGGAGATACGATGATTTTCGGTCGGCTAAGAGGTATTGTTCGAATAATCGATATTGCGGAATGTTTAGTAAACGCCTTTTCCGCATATTTTGCTTCAGAAAGCTTCAGAAAACTTTGAAATCCTTTTTGTAATCTGGTAACACCTTCTTGGACTACTTTCACGTGATTACGCAGTACAAATACTGGAAGTAATTTTAGTACAGCTGAATTTACATGGTGGATAGAAAAGGTTAAAATTTGCATAGCAAATTCGTTTTGCATGCTGGTACTTACAGTCAGACTTACGTGAAGGTACTGTGTTCTGGAAAGATGGTCATTCTGTGGAGAGGTGACCGTGATGTGAAATATTTCCGGATTTACAGCTTTTTTAGCAACCATCGAAAGAAAGATCTATCGCCAGCCACGTCAGCGGGTTAATTGCTGTTGGTGCTTGCAATTGCTCAGACTGTTTTCAAATGCTTTCGCTTCTCGCTCAAAGCCAGTAAGAAATGACTTGACTGTTTAAACCTCGCGAATTAACTAGAAACCAGAGTTTGAGATTTTTTGGCCAAAATTTTACATTAGAGCTGTTTTTCTCTGATCAGCAGAATTTTATGACAGACTGGGTGGCGATGACTGATTATAATAATCCGTAGCATTCATGATTTTCCCCAAAAAACGCACAGAAGAGGAAGCGGAAAAAATTGTCAATTCGTGCTTTCTCAACTTTAACCAAAGCTATAGAACAGAAATTAACTTCTGGTCTTTCTGCAGCTCCTCACAGGACTATCTATACGGCTTCAGCTCGGCCTTTTAATTTTAAAGTAGTAGATAACTTAATAACTAACTTTATTTCATAACTTAATAATTTCATTTCATAATGCAAGCGAGATAACCTGAGTGCCCGAAACAAAGCTGTATTCTGACTCATAGCTTTACTTTCACTATTCATTAAACCATAGAAGGACAAAGATAGAATCAAAAATTCTTCCATTGCAGCTGCGGAAAGCATAAGTAATCAAAAGTAGCGCGAGTGCAATAGCATCTGCTGGTAGCAAGACTGTCGGTGGCTCTGTTTTCCAGAACTGCTCAGAAACAAAAATAGTGAGGGATTAAACTCTTGGCTAAGCACCAGCAACAGTTTACCATTGAAACGAACGGACGAACGAATCGTAAAGAAACTGATTTTACTTTTGCCAAAGCTGAATTCTCAAATTACAGCGCATGACCAGCGCTCCTCACTACTTTTCTAAGTCTGCCAACTACGTACAAAATCGCGTGAAATTTCTTTCCAGTTCAGTAAAGGAAAACGTGAAAGATTTAATATCTCTTACCGATCGTCAAAACGTTCACTGCAAAGTCACTAACATCACCGAAATGCAATAAATTACAACTTGATTAGCGATGCGTGTGGCTTGCTGGCGCGATTATGCGTTTTTGCGCTAAACTTGAAGCAGTCAAATCATTAACAGTGTGGATGATGACTAGGTTATAGTTTAACACGTTGACTTATGTAGGCTACGTTTTCGCCTTTTTCTTGCGTACAAAAGATGTTGACTGGGACGGTGGAATTTCATCATGGATCGCATGAATCTTAAGCCCCAGCATGCATGACTACTGCAGATTTATTCGGTGACCGACTCTTTCATTGAAAAATGCAAATCGGACAATGCTTAGGGTGTCGGAATAGAAGTGCGACAAGGCCCGCAAAACGAACTGGTTTCTGAGACTGAGATAAAACTTAGTGTTTGTAATGTCCTTGTGCAGGGAATTCAGCCGCCAAGCTTAATTTAGAATACAACTGAATACAGAGCGGATGTTTACTGTTGCCTTTTGCCACCATGAATAGAGTGCAAAAGAAGACACACACGAAAGGCACAGAACGACCAAGAATCGAACAACAGCAAGATCCCCCGATCCCCAGTGTTCTTTCCCGTCCTTTGCAATAAGTATAAAAGCATGTAATTTTGGTGTAATTAGTGTTGAGTGTTGTGCCAGCACTG